ACAATAACTCAATTCACAATAAAAGCTTCAAAAAAACCCACTTTAACACAGATAAGATTTTTTCTGCATATAAATATTAAAGGCAATGAAACATGTATATAAATGGGAAGATATGCTTTAGATTCTTAATATGCATCTTATAAGGAATCCAGTTTGAGAAGCTCATTTGGGAAATTTTAGAAAAAAAGCATCTACAAATCAGTTTCAGTTATAAATACTTAGACCATCTATTGATTTCTTATAGGTTAAAATATAATCAGCAAAAAGAAAATAATAATAAGCACCAATAAAAGGAAATATTTTTAAAATAAATTAAATTTTACAATTAATAACGCTATTTTTAAAGCAAAAAAATTTTTACTAGCCTTCTGAATAAAATATATTAAAAATTTAATAAGATTCCACATACACAGACAACACATGTTTTCACAGAAGTAAACTTTACATTAAAATTTTAATCTTCCATTATGATAAACAGTATGAAGTCTTTCATTTTATTCCTATCATTTCTGATCAATTTTCAAAATTAAAACTGAATTTCCCATAACTCTTGTGCTATAATGCCTCCAAAGGGCTACGGAAAAGCAGATCATTTCAATGATTTTAAGATTCTCTACCTACCAGAGATTATCAGAAAGATGTTTACCTGTGCTTTATTGACTATACAAAGGCTTTCGATTGTGTGGACAATATTGTCAAGTATGAGTATTCCGAAACACTTAATTGTGCTCATAAGGTTTCTGTACATGGACCAAGAGGCAGTTGTTCTAACAGAACATGGGAACACAGAATGGTTTAAAGTTAAGAAAGATGTGCAAAAGGGTTGTAGTCTTTCACCATATTTATTTAACCTGTATGCTAAGTAAATAATCCGAGAAGCTGGGTTAGATGACGAAAAACGTGGCATCAGGATTGGAGGGAGACTCATTAACAAATATGCAGATGATATAACCTTGTTTGCTGAAAGTGAAGAAGACTTAAAATATTTACTGATGAAGATCAAAGAGCACAGTATAGATTGCATCAATGTAAAGAAAATAAAAATCCTCACCACTGGACCAATAAACAACATTCTTATCAATGGAGAAAAGATTGAAGTTGTCAAGGGCTTCATTCTTCATGGATCAACTATCAACACTCATGGGAGCAGCAGTCAAGAAATCAGATGATGTATTGCATTAGGCAAATCTGCTGCACAAGACCTTTTCAAAGGTTTGAAGAGCAAAGATGTCAGCTTGAGGACTAAGGTGCACCTGACCCAACACATGGTATTTTCAATGACTTCATATGCAAGTGAAAGCTGGATAGTGAATAAGGAAGACCATAGAAGAATTGATGCTTTTGAGTTATGGTGTTGGAGGAGAATATTGAAAGTGCCATGGGCTGCCAAAAGAACAATCAGATCTATGTTGGAAGAAGTGCAGCCAGACTGCTCCTTGGAGGCCAGGATGGCCAAACTTTGTCTCTCATACTTCGGACATATTGTCAGGAGGGACCAGTCGCTGGAGAAGGGCATCATGTTTGGTAGGGTGGAGGGTCAGAGACAAAGAGGAAGACCCCCAGTGAGATGGATTGGCCAAATGGCAGCATCGATGGACTCAAGCGTGGAAACGATAGTGAGGTTGGCTCAGGATCGGGCAGTCTTTTGTTCTGCTGTGCATAAGGTTGCTATGAGTCGATACCGACTCGATGGCACCTGACAAAAACAACAACCTTATTATTATTTGGAGTCCTGGTGTGGCACTATGAGCTAATGCATCAGACTGCAAAGTCATTTAAGCTGCAAGGTCGGTGGTGCAAGCTCACCAGCTGCTCCTTGGAAACCCTCTGCAGGGTCGCTGTGGGTTGGAATCGACTCAACAGCACTCAACAACAACAACCTTATTATTCATCATTCCAGCTTATATGAGGCCTCCAAACAGCATTTGTGAGGAAAGGGTGTTTCAATATAGAATGGTATAGAGAATATACCATACATCCAAACATTCATCAGTGAAAATTTATAAGTATTAACGTTGGAATATTTACTTTTGTTTTTTATTTAACGTTTTTATTGTGGATTGAGTAAAAGTTTACAGGGCAGATCATCAGTTTTTCATTCAACAAATCATACACCTTGCTTCATTACAATGATTATAATCCCCTCCATGAACCATCAGTTAACAGTGTTGCTCTCTATTCACTTTAGCTTTTTTTAAAAAAAAAACACTCAGTCATTTACAATAATTTACACCACCAAAGGGCACATTCTGTAATTCTGTTCCTGGCTACCAGTTCTTAGTCCCTCAATTCCCATTAATCTACAGTCCTCCCTCTCTCCATGTCCCCATCTCTGCCTCCATCTCTGGTGTTGCTGCTTCTCTGGATAAGGTCTCTCATTCTGCTTGTGCTCTTCTCCTTTGATGATTCTAGGGTCCTTTGTTTCTGGACTGTAAGATTAACCACTCCCCTGTTTTTGTTACAAAACTACTACTTTTACAATTGTGACAATCGCCATTAGTCATCATAACAATGACTCATTATTGAATCATAAGAATCTTATCCCCATCTCTTTTAACCAGACCCATCTAGCCAAGATGAAAACTATTCAGCGTGGACTCTTTCTTTCTTTCCCCACACACTATTAAACTAAGCTCCCCCTTGAAACCTTGTAAGCCAGTCACTTTGTGCCTTTATACCTCCCTCATTTCCAGTAGCCAATGTCTAAGTTGCCCATCCCTATCTACCCTGTGTATAGAGGGGATAGGATTGATACTTTATGTGAAGACTCCTTCCCTCTCTGTTGGTATTTATAGTTACTACCTCCATGAATATAGGTCAAGTTCATCAAATTGTAGCAATTTACCCTCATTTCCTTTATCAAAAAATTTTTTTATCTTCTTCTAGTTGAGTTCTAATTATCAAGCCATCAAGGCTTGATAATGGGTACTAGCTGAAGCGTTGGATGTTGTAATATTTACTTTTAAACCTTTTTAAATGAAAAGAAATGCAACATTTTTGAAGTTGATATATGATAAACTATTTTTACTCCACCTTAACCCTATTTTTCTTCTCTCCCAGAGGCAACCAATTAAAAAAAAATTTATATGTATTTTTCTAATCTATGTTTACATATTTTATTACATGCACATGTATTCATAAATACATAACATTTTCTGTGTGTATCTGTCCTCTGAATTTTTTCAAAATGTGGTCATGTTGATATATATAAATCTAATTATTTAATATTAACTTCTAAATAGCATCTCATGATATGACAATTTCTCTATTCTCTTACTGCCAGACATCTTGGTTGTTTACAATTTTCTGTTCTAAAGAATGAGCCAATAAACATTCCTGTGCATGTATGCTTACACACATGCAGGAATGCATTCCTACAAACGAAATGGCTGGACATCAATCTCAATTTTATTAGATATTGCCTAATTGCTCTCCCAAGTGGATAAGGCAAGTGTTGTTGGTGGTGTTTTTAAGTGCTGCAGAGTTGATTCTGACCCATAGTGACCCTGTATAGGGTTTCCGAGGAGCAGCTGGTGAACTCAAACCACTGATGCTGTGTTTCAAACCGACCTTGCAGTTCAGTGCATTAAACCACAGCACCACACCAGGACTCCAAGGTAAGCATGTTGTTGTTGTTGTTAAGTGCTACTGAGTCGATTCCGACCCATAGTGACCCTGTTTAGGGTTTCCAAGGAGCAGCTGGTGAGCTTGAACCACTGCCCTTACAGTTCAAATGATTTTGCAGTCTGACACATTAACCCATAGTGCCACACCAGGTAAGTATTGTTGTTATTGTTAATTGCCGTCGAGTTGATTCCGACCCATAGTGATCCCGTATAGGGTTTCCGAGGAGCAGCTGGTGAGCTTGAAGTGTAAGTATTGTTGTTGTTGTTATGTGCTGTGGAGTCGGTTCCAACTCATAGCAACCCTGTACAGGGTTTGAGGCTGTAAATCTTTATGGGAGCAGAACGCCTTATCTTTCTCCCACATAACAGCTGGTAGTTTCGAACTGCTGACCTTGCAGTTCACAGCCCTATTTGTAACCACTATGCTACTAAACTCCTTGAAGCGTAAGTATAGATACAGAGACATAGGAAGTATGAAAAGCATATTATGGCGCTGCATTTACAGGTATTAGTCTGACATCAGTCACTGGATGAAAGGTTTTGGGAACAGAACAGTCATATATATGATCTTCAAGTATCAAACCACAGACTACTTACTAACTGTAAAGGAAAAAGGTACTTTTACAATTTACTGTATTTTAGTAAAGTGGAGCTTCTTTTCATGTCTCTTGGCTATTCAAGTCTCCCCTTATGCTCACATACTAATTGATTTGTTTCCTTTCTTTATAAACTAGGGACCAAAATCCAACTTCATCTACTGCCATCAAGTTGATTCTGACTCACAGTGACCCTATGTAGGATTTCTGAGACTGCAAATGTTTTCGGGAGCAGGAAATCTCATTTTTCTTTCACAGAGTGGCTGGTGGCTTTGAATCACTGACGTGGTGGTTAGCAGTCCAACACTTACCACCCACAGTGCCACGAGGGCCTGGGATATTTTGGACATTGTAATGCACACACCTTTACTGAGTCTGTGACTTATTTATGGTATAGTTTAGAGAAGAATTTTTTAATATTTTGATATAGTCAAGTATCTCAGTCTTATTCTTTTCGGTTTGTGCATTTTGTGGTAAATTTAATACACTGTTAACTACCCTCAGGGCCATAAACAGTTCCCTGTGTTTTCTTCTGAAGGTGAGATGCTATTCAGCTTGCTTGTCTAAGAGCTGACCAGTTAAGAACCGAGCTATAAATCTGCTGGATGACAGGACCAGTGATGCAGTCTCCAGAAAGGTTATCCTCTGATTCTAAGAAATTTTTAGCTTTGTGTGAAGTTGCTCTTCAATTGCATGAATAACTGAGACTTGCTATTTAAAACAATATATGCTAAAGTTATATTTTAAAAGATAGAACAGAATCAGTCATATAACTTACATGAGTGAACAAAACTTCATTCTTGAGCTCTTCAGGACTTTCATTTGGAGTCCAAGTTTTAGCAAACTGCAGGAAATCCCATTTGTCCTTCTCATCTTCCTCAGCCTCAAGTTGTTCCTTCCTGCCATTCAATGTACTCCCTGTAACCTGAGCCTGTAAGACAGATAGCATATTGATTTTCATCCTCTGTTAGCCATTTTAACTGATGGCTTCACTAACTAGTAACTTGATTTTTCCATTTAAATCACAGGCTATTCACAAAGGGAAGGTACCCTGGTAGCACAGTGGGTTATGAGTTGGGCTGCTAACCTCAAGGTCAGCAGTTCAAATCCACCAGTTGCTCCATGGGAGAAAGATGAGGCTTTCTGCTCCCGTCAAGATTTATAGCATCAAAAACCCTATACAGGGTTGTTATGAGTCAGAACCAACTTGACAGCATGCAGCAGCCGAAGCAACCACAAAGGAAATCATCATTTCAACATATCACGGGTTTTAGTAATAAAATTATTCAAAATTGTAACCAAAATACCAAGTCAATGATTCCTATGCTTCCTGAGGAAAAGTTATGCTAAACTTTTATCCTATAATTTATATACTTTTTAACCTACGCATGATTGACCACTTTGACACTCTCTACTCAGTGCTTGAAAAATATCCTGTAGAATCTTTAGTCAAATCCCTTCAAAGTTGGGAAGAAAAGACAGGAGACAGAACAAGGAACATCTTCCTATCTTTCCTAGAGTCTAGGTTTAGGTTCTCTATCCCAAATAAGTTAGGAACTCAAGAATCCTTCTGCGAAAGGGTTCATTCTTAAGTCACAGAAAAAACAAGGCATGAAAGCATTATAGTTCTTGATAGATGATCTCATAAAGTGGTGAAGGTAGGGTTTGGGAGACAGGAGGAAAACACACAAAATTCATGGTCTTTCTTACTGTTCTTGTTACAGAATGCAGCAGGTAGTGTACCATCAATTGAAGCCTTTTCTGAACCTAGCTTCTACTACCATTATGTTCATATCGTTTGCTTGAAAACACTAATTCTCAGCCTCTTAACTCTTGAAAGCTATGAATCATAATGAATAAGTCGGTAACTTGGTTTAAATTCAAGCTTTACCTTACGATTCAACATCCCCCACATAAGGGTGTCTAAAGTCCCATTTGCAATGAGATAGTGAATATTCACAGAACTGCACTGTCCAATCCGATGAGCACGATCTTCTGCTTGTTTTATATGTCCAGGGTCCCAGTACAACTCAGCAAATACAACGTGAGTTGCAGCAGTAAATGTTAAACCCTAAGTGAAATAAACCAAAGATATTAAGACACAAACTGAAAACAGAGAGGTCATACAGAGTAGTTTTTTCCGAACATGTTAGATGTATGAGAGAACACTACAGGATTTGAAAACAAATTAGTCTATCATTTTAAGGCAAATTAAGAAAAATTTCATTCATGGCAGGCAAATGAATTTTGTTTCTTGCAATATAGTCAGGTGAACCATAAAAACTCATTTAAGAGGTATTTCAAGATTTTGAAAGTCAGCTTAATATATACATATATATATAATTACTTTATTTTTTGGTAAAGACTGGATTCACATTTCACATTACCATTTGAAAATCTAATGAAATACACTAAAAACTCGAATATAATTTCTAACACATGGTATCCATAGCAACTAGGCAGAGAGCACTGACATCTCTCTTCATCTAATTTGTTCTGTGGTGCTCTAAAGCAAGGAAATCAGGTCTCCAGTCATGTTTTCTCTTTATGAAATTGCTCCTGTTGTGTTCTGAAGACCCTAAAGTGTACTGACTTATGTTTGAATATATTTATAGTGCAACTCAATTTTTGTTCAATTGCATAATGAAATAATGTGATGTTAGAAATACTAAGTCTTGTTTTATAATCAATATATGAAATAACATATCTCCTCAAATTAAAACTGTATCAAGGAAAACATGCTTTGGTTTGGTGCTTCCTGAAAAAGTTGGAAATAGTCATACCAAATGACCCACCAATCCCCGTACTTGGTATACATCCACAAGAAATATGTGCTATAACATGAGTAGCCATAGGCACACTGGTGTCCATTGTAGCACTATTCACAATAGCAAGAAGATGGAGACAGCCTAACTTCCCATCAGTGGAAGAATGGCTAAACAAACATGGGTACACATACACAATGAAATACTACTCAACACTGAAGAATAATGATGAATCGAGAAACACTTCAGAACATGGATGAACCTGGACAACATTGTGAACATTAGTGAAATTAGTCAATCACAAAAGGACCACTATTGTAAAAACTTAAGAAAAGGTTTTCATTCTAAAAATAAAAAAGAATTCTTTGATGGTTACCAGGGATGAGAGGGAAGGAAGAATAATTTACTGACTAGAGGATAGACACATGTTAACTCAGGTAATGGTGGTGGTAGTGGTTATGTGCTGTGGAGTTGGTTCTGATTCATAGAGACCCTGAATAGGGTTTCTGAGGGTGTATACCTTTACAGGAGCAGAAAGCCTCATCTTTTCCTGTGGAACCCCTGGTAGTTTTGAAGTGCTGACCTTGAGATTAGCAGCCAGACTCATAACCACTATGCTACCAGAGCTCCTGAATTCAAGTGATGAGGAAGGCAATATACAAGAAGAGGAAGGCTGAGAGAAGAATGATGAAGACAAATGTAAGGGTTCAAGGGAATAGAGGTGAATACTGTTATACACACAACCCTGGAACAGCAGTGTTCTATGTATAGATAAATGGACAGACACACAGGCTAAACAGGTACGGTACGGGAGGAAGAATGGGAGTCTACCCACAAATATATAAGGATTTGACAGAGGTTATCTGTACATGGGCATTTATTTACCTTTGCTGCAAAAAATACTTATGACTGTGGTAGAGCATACAGGTGACAACATGATGAACATTTCTTAGAAGCTATCAAACATCTGAAGGCAGTGAGTTGCTGGGCCTGGGGGTTCAGGACCATAGTCTCAGGGGATACCATGGTCAGTTGGCATAACAGTTGACAAAGACAATGTTCTACATCCTACTTTAATGAGTAGTAACTGGGATCTCATAAGTTCATGAGTGGCCACCTAATGTGCCAGTACTAGTCTCTCAATTGTTAGGAAGATTGGAGTCAGAGGTATTTAGACTTCTTTCCATTACATTTTGTAGCCCTATCTGAAATAGAATGAGTATCTATTTTACCAGACATCCAGATATAAATGTTTTAATTGTGGTTAATGGCCTCTTTATTATCTCACAATGTTTTATTATCAAACTTAGACCTGAAATTTCTTACCTGACCAGCAGCCTGAATGCTTAGGATAGCTACACGAGTATCAGGATCCTTCTGAAACTGATTAACCAGATGTATCCTTTCTGATGATGGAACACTTCCATCTATTCTAATGTAACGAGTCTAGAGTCCAAAAAGGAAATGGTAAAATTAGAAGAAACTCATCTCATTTTATATTTTTTATAGCTTTCATATAAAAATGGAAATTGGTTAAGATGGCAGTCTGGTAAATGTTACACAAGAAGAATTTTGATCATGCTTTTTCATAGTTTCTTTAATTTTTTTAAATATATATTTACCAATTTCTTTAATGTCTGGCTTAATTGAAAACAACTGGGTTCTCATATCTGCCTCTCATAACAGTTTCTTAATAACAGTAATTCTTTTCTTCCTACCCTTTAAGCTACTTGAAAGTAGAATATATGTCGAATTCATTCCCATACTATCAATGAGATCAGGGCAATCCCTGCATTTTAGAAGGAGTTTCACAAAACTTGGTTGAATTAAGTTAAAGGGGTCTTTAATATATTCCTATGTAAATTCATGGTAACTTTAAATAATGGATCAGATAAGTTTTCAGTTACAGAATCATGAATTTCAATGAAAACCAACACCAGGTAAGTGAGAAAATAGAATGATGAGTCTGTCCACATACTTCTAATGTAATGAAAAACATACCACACATATATCTGAAATAGTCCAAATATTACCTGGGGAAAGATCTTTTTAATGTATCATATGAGCTATCTTTTCTTTTTGACATTATTAAAATGAAATGAAATATGCAATATCATCTTCTTCATCGAGGTGGGAAGCGAAGACACATACACACATCTTTGAAACATAGGGAAACATTAAGTGCTAAACTGAGCACAGCTGTCTTTAAGAATGACTGAAGCTGAGAGGAGGAACCGGTGTGTTCTAGAATAGCTAAAAGGAATGCATTACTAAACTTCTTAAAAACAAGTTAAGACCTGAATCTCCAATATTATGGAAAACCTAGCCTTACACAGCTGAGGCACACAAATAATGACTTTTATGAGGGATTAGCCAAGTTACTTATTAAATAGAATGTTAATGTCCCATATTAACTTTCTATGTCTTTGCAAAATATGTATCAAGTGATCAGGGAACCATTTAATATCCATTAAGAAAGGAGTCCTGGTGTGGCGCTGTGGGTTAATACATACGTCAGACTGCAAAGCCGTTTGAACTGCAAGGTCGGCGGTTCAAGCTCACCAGCTACTCCTTGGAAACCCTATACAGGGTCGCTATGGGTTGGAACCAACTCGACGGCACTTAACAACAACAACAACAAGAGAGGCTACAAGGACTTTGAGGGTTTTTCTAGAGAAAACCCATTATAAGTCAGGCTAGGGAGTGTTTAGGAGAACTATACCTTTAGCTCCATGACTGCCAATATTTTGTAACTATTACAGATGTTAAATAGGATTCTGAATGCAGTGGTGAAATCATGTTTTCAATAAAAGAAGACATTTTTAATGAAATGGGAGACACTTATTGAGGCAAAATGGATTTTGATACAATTAGCTGACACATATGTCTTCAGGGGTCTCTGATGCTGGGCTTGGTGAGATGAGACCCATTTCTTTACATTCATGAGTGATACAGGCTCTCACCAGAGAACAGCACAGACTAAAAGTTGGATAGTATCTTCCTGTTAAACCCAAGAAGCAAAAACTTAGGTGACCACTTTATGTCCTACAGGTCACATAAGGGTTTAAGACACAATAGAATCAGGATTGTTGTTGTTAAGTGCTATTGAGTCAGTTCCGACCCATAGCAACCCTGTATAGGGTTTCTGAGGAGCGGCTAGTTTGACCTTGCAGTTCAAACAACTTTGCAGTTCAGCGCGTTATCCCACAGTGCCACAGCAGGACTCCAGAATCAGGATAAGATACTACAAATCTAACTTTATTACATAAACATTTAAAAAATATTTTAATGTTAATTAATTTCCTTAGAGGACGCTTTATAGAAACTATTGGACAGTCAAATGAGAAAGTACCCCTTAATGTACAGCATTTTATTATACGGTATTATTATTCATCTTTTTATGAAGGAAATGTCAGAATAACTTCCTTGGTAACATTAATGAGCCTATTGTTGTTGTTGTTTGCCGTCCCATAGCGACCCTATATGGGGTTTCTGAGGAGTGACTGGTGAGCTTGAACTGCCGATCTTGCAGTTCAAATGGCTTTGCAGTCTGGCGAATAAGGCTATTAGCTAATGTTAAAAAACCTACATACAAAGATGTCAAAAACAAGACTACCGCGCCATTTAAAAACCTACCAACTCAGGCAAGTGTCTTTGCTGCTACATATATATTAAGCTAATATAATCTGTCAGGAAATTTCTTTTGGTTATTTCTGAGCATCTCTAGAAGTTCCCAGCATTTTAAGGGAATAGATGAAGGGTTTAAACACAAAAAGTAGAAGTCATTACTGGAAAAGAAGTGGCCCTAAGAAAACGCAATAATGCAAACAGGTCTGGGTTGCTTGGTCTGTAAGTTTTCAATCTGTTTATACTCCATTTTAATAACAGTATTCTGTAGTGAGTATGCTTCTTGGAAGTTTAAAGGTCTGACTGTAGTTAGGTACAACAATCAGTGGAATTCATTCTTGTTTTCCTCTTTGCATCACTCACAGCCTTGCAGGCAGATAAAAACGTTAACTTTCAAGTGTTTACACCACTCACAAATGATATGCCCAAGAACAAAAACAGAAGTCAGATAACAGCCTACAAAGAATATCATTAATCAATTCAGATCATATGATAAATGGGAAATTATATATTAAGGTAAAAATTTAATAATATATTATAATTGTAATAGTTATAAATACTAACATAACTCACAAGAAAGTGTCCAATAGTCCTTATATATCACATAAGCTAAAGAAGGCAAAATAATCTCAATGATAAGACTACAATAAATGTCTAGCATATTTAAAAATCTGCATTAAAAAAACTATTTTATAAATCAAAATGGTAACATACCTTGTTTTCTATGACTGCCTCTGTGCAAGCCTGGAGCATGCTTAAATGGTGACCAAAAACCAGAAATTTAAGCGACTCGTTCTGAAGCATCACCTTAATATAATCCTTCACAGCACCTGCCTAAAAATTAAAAGTTAAACTGTATTAATGTTTATAAACAATCATTTCACTTTCTTTTCATTAGAAAAGTAATACTCCTCCTCAAAATCATTTAAGTTTCTGAAAACTTTTAACTGCTTTGTTCTCTAGGTTGTCTAGAAACTCACTGTTATGTGGAAGGTAAAGGACAAGCAGGGGGAAAACAGGCAAAACACGAACACCACAATGTGTAGGCATCAGCAAAACAACAACAACAACACATAAGAATGGAGAAGTGTTTTAATGGAAAGCAGAGTCAAGGAAGCTTATGAACTAGGTACGGACTTGGTGGTTTGGATTACACGATTTTCAAAAGAGCTTATATAAAAAGACTAGAATGGGATAGAATTAGGAGGCAGCAGAAGGGGAAATGGCAGATGCACAGAGAAAGTATTTTTATTTTTCAGGGAAGACTGGAAAAGAAGGAAAAAAGAAAGCTGGGACCAAAGCTTAATGGGTTAGGAAGTTGATTTACTTCTTAAACTTAGAAATTGGATAGGCTTATAAATAGAGAGAATAGACTGTTATGAGAAAGAGAAAACTAGGGGACTTAGCTTGTCTATGGAATGAGAAAGTACCAGGAGAGGCTAGAATGATGGAATAAAGAGCACAGGAGAGAGGTCGCTGAGAACACTGGGAGACAGAGAAATTGTGAGGAAGAAGAAAATAAACCAAGAAAGTTCAGACCAAATTGCCTTTTCATAGTTAATTTGAGGCTAAGTTTTCTATGAGGAGTGATAACTCAATGTGGTTATGGTGGTTGTGTGCTGTGGAGTCGGTGCTGACTCATCGCAATCCTGTACAGGGTTTCCGAGGCTGTAAATCTTTATGGGAGCAGAAAACATCATCTTTCTTCCGCGGAACAGCTGGTAGTTTCGAACTGCTGTCCCTGAAGTTAGCAGCTCAATTTGTAATCATTACTACACTACCAGAGCTCCTTGAGAACTCAATGAGAGATTAATTAAATTGGAATTCAAGTGCTGATGGTGCGGTAGGATACTAATCACAAGGTTGGTGGTTGAACCTACTAGCTGCTCCATGGGAGAAAGATGAGACTTTCTGTTCCTGTAAAGATTTAATTCCATAAAGATTTACACCCATGGAAACATTTCATAGGGTCACTATGAGTCAAAACCAACTTTAACAACAGATAGGAATTAGATTTAAAGCAGACAGCATGTGTTAAGCTAAAAACCTGAATATACTACCACTTAACTGTTAAAAACTCATTAATTAGAAAGTTTGGGATGACAGGATGAACATGCATACCTCTCTTCTTTCATAGCACTACATTCAACTGATAACTAAGCATATAGGGGCAAAGATTAGAGAGAAGCCCACAGCAACAATATTGTGAAGTGATAAAGCAGATGGATGCCTGGGAACATCAGCTGACCTGACAACCTACTCATAGGCAGGCGGTAAGAAAAGTTGAGAAGCAGCCATTACTCACTGCAGTAATAAAGGTTCACGCAGTAGCACCTCTGAAGGTGGGGTTGCATTGTGGCTAAAACCTGAGAACTAGTTGAACACATGTTTAAATAGATGATTATGTGCAATTTCTTCATTATTGGTTTTATTGCTTAGAGAGTAAATTTGAATATTTATATTGCTGCTTGTTATTAAGTGTCATCATCAACTTGCTTCTGACTCATCTTCCCTGAATAGTGTTTCTGAGGCTGAAAATCTTTGCTGGAACAGAAAGTCTCATGTTTCTCCCACAGAGCAGTTGGTGGACTTGAACTGCCGACCTTGTGGTTAGCAGTCCAATGCCATGGGCATGTTATTTTTTGAAGTGGTCATTTCTACTGCTTAAACTGTAACCATATGAAGCTGTGATATCAACATTAAAAAAGACTGCATCCATCAAATCATTAGGGACATTTAAAAAAAAAATTTAAAATTCATGCATATATTATAAAGTTACAAGACTGGTTCTGCACGTTCCCTTTGGTATGTCTAAATGTTCTGAAAAATAGAAATTCCTCATACAATGACACTGGATGACACTAAGAATTTTAGCCTTGGATTTCAGTGTCCCAGAAAGTAGAAATGAAGTCTTCTCACAATAAGGAGCTATAAATTCTGGATATGTTGTCATGGCAACCAAACTACTTTAATAAAGTGCATGTTTGCCTAAAGAGGTATATTTACTGGGATAAGCCTTTCAAAAAGTACATGTCAAGTTGGAGTATTTTTAAGGTACATTCATTTACCATCACTACAGCACCATCCCCAGATGCATTCCCTTGCCTCTCTGTCAGTGAGCTGTTTCTGCCTGAGCTCCTTCATGTATAGCACCCTTCCCATCAAATCAAAGCTCTCAGCTTGCCCATCCAAAGCCTGCCATCAGTTGCCACTGAAGGGCTTACAGTTACTATTAATATTATATAGTTCAGTTCTATAATTGGCTAAATAGGCTTTTGGGACTAACCTCACAGCTTAACCATTTGTGATATTGCTTCTATGAGAAAATGTGTTTGGAGATCCAAAATATATATGTAACAAATGAACTTCTTTGGAGAAATGTCTATTCAGATAATTTGCCCATTAAAAAAAAAACAAAAACTGGTTATTTATTTATTTATTTATTTAAAGTTGTAACAGTTCTATCATAGAGGCCTGATAGGAAGCGAATTTTTTCATTGATATGCCTGTTATATATCTATTATAAAATCAAAACTCTATGCCTATGATTACAAACACATGTAGAAGACGTAGGTTATCTTTGTTATATGAATTGTAGCATTCGTATAGGGTGTGCCTTGACTCAGTATCTTGCAAGATATAAAAATAACACACTAAGAAGGCTAAGATGGGGGAGCAAAGGTATCAAGTCACATGGAGATCTCACCAAGGAATCAAGAAACAGAAGCTGAACAAACAAGGACCTTCCTCCAGAGCTGACAGGCATAATGCTTTCTACTAGAACCGGCAGTCTTACTTCAGACTTCTAACCTCCTAAACTGTGAATCATTTGTGAGTCTGTCACTCTGGTGGCTTGTAAGTTGCCATGATGCTGGAAGTGATGTCACCTGTATTTCAAATGCCAGCAGAGTCACTCCTGGTGAACAGGTTTCATAGGCGCTTTCAGCCTAAGACAGACTATAAGTAGTAGGAAGAGATGACCACGTGGTTTTATCTATTATTTTTTACTATTAATGTATTACATTAGGGATACTGGTGGCATAATGGTTATGCATTGGTCTTCTAATCACAAGTGCAGCAGTTTGAATCCACTAGCTGCTGGGCAGGGGAAAGATGAGGATTCTGCTCCCGTAATTATCTATCTCCTTGGAAGCCGTATACAGGGTCTCTATGAGTCAGAATCAACTGGAAGGCAGTTAACAACAACAATGTATTACATTAATTGATTTCCAGATCAATTAATTTCTGGGATAAACAAACTTTGAATTTCTGGCATAAATCCCATATGGTCATGGTGTGTAATCCTTTTATATATTGCTGGATTTTATTTGGGTGTGCTTTGTTGAGGATTTTTTCATCTATATACATAAGGGATGCTGCTCTGTAGTTTTGTTTTTGTATGATGTGTTTACCTGGTTTTAGTAACAGTAATACTGGCCTCAAACAGTAAATATTCCCATATGTTCCCTTTCCTAAATTTTAGAAGAGTTTGGGAAGAATTGAGAACCTGTGTTCTTGATGTCGTCATTGAACCACTAAACTAACCAAATCAGAAACTGCTCTCCTTTGAGGTCTTGTTACTTGAGATCCTACATATATCTTTGATACATTTTTCCTTAGGTCTCTTACTATTTTCCTCTGACATCACCTTAATTTATACAATACCTTTAAGAGATAATTACACATAAGAAAGCTAATGTTAATTTAGTCCAAAATATAGTCATATATCCAAAAGCCAAACCAAACCCACTTAGGCTATTTATTTAAAACTTTCTCACTGCCAAGAAAGTTTCCAAATACCATACCAAAAAAGCAGTAAATCAGTTAAGTCTAAAACAACTAATATGGCAATGATGTACTGAATAACAGAGTAGAGAAATGGTTGAAGAAAATATTATACAAGTTATATGTATTATTTACACAAGGGGGCTTCAAAAAGTTTGCAGAAAAATTTTATGGTCTTTCAAGCCCATTTTTCCATTAATTTTTTAAATCTCCTTTGTATAGGCAAATGGAGGTCCTACAATTGAACATAAATCTTAAGTGTGGTGGCTCCGAATGACAAAAGGTAAACAAGATTGGTGAGGGATAAATGTTCCCAGTCCCAGCCATGAAAACTTCCAGATCAATGGAAACAATTGTCTATTTAAAGGACATTTACGGCGTTGCCACCCCATTCCCTTATTCTGGATTGTTTAAGAATGTGTTTCAGTCTAGCTGTGAGGCCATAGCTGAGAGGTGTGGAGTGAGCTCCAGCATTTGGTTACCAGATCATCATAGATTTTGCTGGTGTGCACCTTTAGCCAGGAACCAAACACTTTGTTTAGTGCTATCAGGATGCCGAGAGCTTTCAAGTGGTACCATGTGGGTGGAGAGCATCTTCTCTGCCTCTCTTGCTTTTATCTAGATCACTTTACACTGTTCCTTATTAGTTTATTTTGGAATAGCTGATTTATCTACTAACCTTTTAATTATCTTAAATGAGGAAAACGAGTGCCAAAGTAAAAGGAAACTATGCATTGCTAATTCTCCATTATTCAGCTCCCCAGCTCTCCAAAAAGAAAGCTATAAAAATCTGTCTTCTACATCCCTTCCCTCAAGTCATGGTTCTCAATGTTGAGACCATTTCATCGATATGATAAAAATATTTTCAAATCTGGTGAAAGATAACCCTCATGGGTTATTGGCAATTTTATACAATAATGTCAGGGTTGTTTTTTGTTTTTGTTGTTGTTTTAAACCGTTTCTACAGAACCTCAGGCTAAAATGTTCTCATAAGAAATAAAAAGTTCCATTCCAAAGATGGGTTTAGGTGGAATACTGGAAGTGTCATT